GGAGGAGGTAACTATGGGGAGGAAGTGGGAGGGGAGCTGCTGCATTGTAAATTTTGGTCAATGACATGAGACAAAGTATATGGGAACTGCTGTATGAAAAGTGAATTTACTCTGTAAATCTTCACCCAAATGCTAAAAAAAAAAAAGATGGTGGTGGTGGTGGTGGTGTTATGTGCCATCTAGTTGGACCCAACTTTTAGTGACCCCTCCTTGAGTTTCCGAAGCAGTATCACTATGGAAGTAGATTGCCCATCTTCCTTCCGAGGTCAAGATGGTGACAGCAGTGTATTAAAACAAGCAGGATCTGTCTGAGGGTGGGGCCCTGTATAAATTGCACAGGTCTCACTGTAAAGCCAGCCCCACACCAATGGGAGAGGAGCGGAGACAGCACTTCACCACAAGTGCCTGCAGACCAACCTCTTTCACTAGGATCGGTTAAGGCAACCCACAAAAGAAAATCCCTGATTGGCCTGAGACAGTTACATTGGAATCTCTGTGAATCTCCATCAGCTCTTGGAGAGATTCGAGGAGGGTTGGCACAGTGCTTGGCACATACAGCCCCCTACCCGTAAATACGGGTTGAGTGTGTGAATGTCAGGTACATGGGGACCATTGGGAGAAGTGTTTCTTGGGCCTTGGGACCTGGAATGAGCACTAAAGTGGGTTTTGTCTTTTGCAGACAGTGACCAGTGGTGTCTCTTTGCCTTGGCCACTGGGAAGCTCACTGTACCCTCCCTCTAGCAACCAGGCACAGCATGGACTGGGGGTATATTTGTCTCCCGTAGCTGTGGTAAACAAAGTGCCACAGACCGTGTGGTTTAAAACAACAGAAATGTATTCTGTCTCAGTTCCAGAGGCTGGAAGTCCAAAATCGAGGTTGAATGAGAAATCATCCTCTGAATGAGAAGCGTTCATGCTGCTTCCTCATTGTTGATGGTTCCTAGAAAACCTTCTCATTTCTCGACTTGTAGACAAAACACAAAAGTTGCCATGCAGTTGATTCTGACTCATGGCAACCCCCGCGTGTGTCAGAGTGTAACTGCTCCATGGATTTTCAGTGGCTGAAGTTTTGGAATTAGACCCCCAGTGCTTTCTCCTCAGGTGCCTCTGGGTAGGCTTGCACCAGTCAGCAGCTGAGGGTGTTAGCCTTTTGCACCCCAGGGACTGCAAACTTGGAGCTCCCATCTCTGCCTCCGTCTTCCCACGACCGTCCTCCGCCTGGGTCTGTGTCTCTTCTCTTTCCTGAGGACACCACTTAAGCTGGATTAGGACCCCCCACACTCCAGTGTGACCTCATGGTAACTGATAACATCTTCAAAGACCCTTGTTTCCAAAGAAGGTCACAGTCACAGCTCCTGGGAGCCAGGACCTCAGCACATCTCTTTTGGGGACACAATTCAACTTACAGTAAAGAGCACACACCTGAAACCAAGCTTTATCATCTTCCTTTTCCTCAGCCACCTCTCTTTGTTGTTGTTATTTTAAAATCCTACCATAAGGCCAATGAGCCTTGGTGGCATAGTGGTTAAGAGCTTGACTGCTAATCGGAAGGTCAGTGGTTCAAACCCACCAGCTGCTCCGCAGGAGAAAGATACCTCAGTCTGATTCTGTAAGGACCACAGCCTTGGAAACCCTCTGGGACAGTTCTACTCTGTCCTGTGAGTCACCATGAGTCAGAATTGACTTGATGGCAATGAGTTGATTATGAAGACCGGCAGTCTGCTTCCCCAAGGTCCCAGCTTTGAAAACCCTATGGGTCACAATGCCACCCTGAGCATACGGGGCTACCTTGCGTCAGAATTAACTTGATGGCTTAAAGCAGACCCTGTGTTATCGTGGTTCACTTTATTGAGCTTCGTAGATAGTAAACTTTTGAGAGATGGAAGGTGTGTGACAGCCGTCCATCAAGCAAGTCTCTCGGTGCCATTCTTCCAACCGTGTGTGCTCCCTTCTTGCCCCTGTGTGCCATTCTGATCATTCTCATGCTATTTCAAACTTCTCCACCACGTGCTTGACTGGACTACAGTATCATGGCAACGTCACTTGGGGAAGCCAGCTTCTGTGGGACTCACTTGATTGCAGCATTCGTTGGATTCCATGTAACTTTTCAGGAGGCTGCAGATCCTTTCCTGCAACAATTAACTGATCAGTTAACTAACTGAACTCTCTCCTTGTTTTGACCGCCCCAGCTGGTCCACAGCGACCTGGACACTCTGAAGAAAGAAGTGGAAGGGGTCTGGAAAGCCGTCAGGAAGCTGCTGATCGAGGGTCTGCGATTCGACCCGGACAGTGCTGCTGGTTTCAGGAAGTGAGTGCACAAGGCGCGCCGCCTGCGACCCTCGACCCTCGCTCTAGGGAAACAAGAGGGCTGGGGGGGGCGGTTCTGGGAAGAAGCATTCCAGTCCTGGGGAACACTGGGGTGGGGGGGCTGGGAGGAGGCCACCCACAGGGAGCACTGGGCACCCCTAGGGGTGGTGGCTCTGGTCTTTGCTGATAAGGGGCTCCAGGAAGATGTCAGCTCCAAAGCCTTTTGCCACAGATGAGGGAACGGAGGCCCCAAGGGGAAGGGGTCTTGGGAGGCCACATAGGCGGTCTGGGTGGATCAGGGACTGGAGCCAGGAGCCCTGACTCCCACCTCGACAGTGCCTCATGCAAAGGGACCTGATGTTCCTGGGGAGGGCGAGGGGCTCCTGTCCTCGGCTCCCCTCCTATGTTCCCCCAAATGGCCCCCTCCCCCGCCCCATGATTGGCAGTCTTTCCAGAAGGCCCAGTTTTAAAGCTCATCCACTGCGTTTGGGGCAAGGGGATCAACCACACTTCTGTGGTCCCCTTCTCTGCACCAAGTGGAGAGTTGGCAGGCCCCGCGGAGCTGAGCTGTGCGGGGGGAGGGGGGAAGGGAGGGGGCGTGAAGGCGGGGGTCCTGGCCCAGAGGAACAGACAAACCTGCAGACCTCTCCTCCTCCCCCCAGCGCTGCCAGGGCCGGGCCTCGCACGCACGGGCTGGGCGGGGAATGGGCGCCCCAGCTGAGGGAGCCGGGTCTCTTGCAGGAAGCTGTTTGAGCGCGTGAAATGCATCTCCTGTGATCGCCAGGTGGAGATGACGACCAGCCCGTGAGTACCGCCCAAGTCGTCCCCCAGGGGGCGCGCGAGGGTCCTGTTCTCCGGGTCCACGCCTGGCCGCCTAGGTAGCCCGCCAGGGGGCGCGCACGCCAGCCCGCGCCCCTTGCTCTGCGGCTCTTACCCGGATCTATAACCAGCACGTACATACACATCCAAACACCTCCGCCATTCCGCGTGCATCATTTCATTCATTCGTCCCTGAACGAGGCTCTGGGCCGAGGGCTGCGACAGGACGTTGATTCCTTTCAGCACCAACCCTCTCTGGTGCCCGCGGTGGGCAGGGCTGGACCAACTCCAGGAGAAAAGGGGGCTCGTGATCATTGCGAGGAGGAGGGGAGGCCTCACACTGGCCCTTGTGCTTTCGTGGGTTTTGAGGACCAGGTGACCCCGGAAACTAGCCGCCACGTCACTTACTGTGCACGGAGGGCCTTTGGTGTTACAGCGGAACTCCTCCTTCAGACCCTGCATGTCTAGTTTCCACCTGGTTCATAACAGACAACAATCGGAAGCAACCCAAGTGCAGAAATAGAGGACCGGTGATTGCGTTATGGGTCATTGGACCGTCCAGTCCGACGGTCCGCGAGGAGGGAAGTGGCCCAGGCGCCAGCCTCGTGCCACGTGCAGCTACTGGCTGGTGCGGCTGGGAGCAGAGCTTTAAATTGCAGCGACTTTGTTGACGTCCATGGGAATTTAAATAGTAAAGGGTGGCAAGTGGCGACAGTCTAGGATAGTGTGGCTGTGGGAGAATTTCTAGTGAATGACCTGGGAAAATGCCTGTAATAAGTTTTAAAAAAGTTAAGTTTCAAGGTAGTCTATGTATTATGACCCCATTTTTTATTTAAAAAGAAAAAATCACATAATCTGAAAAAACACTGGAAGGACAGCTATCAAAATACGGGCCCAGCAATTATAATGCTTCATTAATTTCTTTGAGCATCTCCATGTTTTCAAGAATTTTGACAGTCAATACGTATGGCTTCAAAACGGTGCTGTGTCTTAACAGACGCACAGGAAAGGCCACGCGTGTTCATTGTGGGGCTCGACGAAGCTTCATACATATGTGCACCCGGGACCACCGTTCAGACCACGATGGAGCACAGACCTGGCCCCAGAAGACTAATTTATTTTTTTAATTGAGATTTTTAAAATTACATAACATAAAATACCCATTTTCCACTGAGCAGTCCAGTGGCATTTAGTATCCCTACGATGTCGTGTGACTGTCACCTCTACCCAGCCCCTAAATATTTTCATCACCGTACTCGGGAAGCCATCACTCCCCACTCTCTGTCCCCCACAGCCCCTGGCCCCACCAGCCTGCTTTCTGACTCCGTGGATTCACTTCTGGGGTCTGACTTTTGTATCAGCTTCCTAGGATTGCCATAACAAAGTCCCACAAACCGGGGACCTTATAAGAACAGAAATTCACGGCCTCACAGTTCTGGAGGCGGGGCTCTGCGGGAAGGGGCGGGTCGGCAGCGGGCACCTCCTCCCAGCTGCTGGGAAGGCTTCCTGAAAGGGGAAGGGGCGGCTCGCGCCCTCTGCTGGCCACACGCGGCTCCGACTTAGCTGTCGCCACCTTGTCCCCCAACAGGCACCTTATCACCATCCGTAAGGCCCACCTGCTGTCGCAGCTGCGGCCTGCCAGCGCCAACAGCTATGAGTACCTGCAGCGGCAACAGATGAGGTGAGCCGGCCGCAGGTGGGGGCTGCCTCCCCGGGGCCACTCGAGCCTGGGAGCCTGTGCCCACAGGGATCTCCTGCAACCCCGGGAAACAAAGATTGTCCCGGGGCATGGCCAGCCGTCTGCGAGGGCCAGTGGACATTCTGGAAGGTGACACGGGCAGCAGACAGACGAGTTGACTGTGGAGAAGAGAAACTTGACCTATTCATTGGGCATATCTATAGGTGTTTTCAAGGTGCTCTGGTGGTGTAGTGGGAAGGCATTTGACTGCTAACCAGAAGGCTGGTGGTTTGAATCCACCAGCTGCCCCCTGGAAGAAAGATGAGGCAGTCTGCTTCCATAGAGATTTACGGTTTTGGAAACCCAATGGGGGTCCCTTATGAGTCAGAATCAACTCAATGGCAGTGAGTTTGGATCTTTTTTATAGGTATTTTCAAGGACCCCTGGTAGCACAGTGGTTAAGTGCTCGGCTGCTCACTGAAAAGTCAGCACTTCAAACCTATAAGCTAAGGCGGTCTGCTTCCATGAAGATGACAGCCCTGGAGACCCTGTGGGGCAGTTCCACTCTGTCCTCTAGGGGCGCTGTGAGTCAGAATGGACTCCAGGCAGTGGGTGTGGTTTGGGCTTTGCTTCCATGAAGATGACAGCCCTGGAAACCCTGTGGGGCAGTTCCCTGCCCTCTAGGGCTGCCACGAGTCAGAATTGACTTGATGGCAAGGTGTTCATTTTGATGCATAGGTGTTTCCAGTAGCCCTTTGGTAGCGCAATGGCTAAATGCCCAACTATTAACCAGAGGTTGGTGGTTCAAACTCACCCAGGGGTGTCTCCAAAGAAAGGTCTGGTGACCTGCTCCAGGCAGGTCCCAGCCTCGGACACTGTGGAGCTCGGTTGGCCTCCGACAGACATCAGGTGCTGCACTGGTGTCACCTCAGAAGCACCTGGTTAACTGGTTACAGTGCCTTCCTGGGACAGCGTCTCATTTGCTATCACAGTCCCCAGCGAGCTGGGCTTAGGTGCCCATGTCAGCTTGGAGGGAATGAGAAATGATTCTTGAGCCCTTACTGTGGCCCAGCTTTGACATTGACCCCATAGAGGTGGTTCTGTTATTATCCTCATTTCGCAGTTGAAGAAACTGAGTGAGGCTCAGAGAAATCAAGGTCCCTGCCCAGGTCCCTGCTAGTACAGAGCTGGCATCCAAACTGCCCGTTTCTGTCACACCCAGCTGGCTCTAGGCCGTGTAGCCCGGAGTCTCGATTCAGCCCCACTTTCCAGCCTCAAGGTTCAGGGCTTCTCCCCAGCCCCAGCCCCGTGGCTGTGTTGGCCAGCTGGAGGCTTAACAACTAGAACAGAACCGTCCCCATGCAAAGGGATGGTTTAAGTTCTGTGCAGAACGTTCCCACCATCCCCGCCTGGTCCTCTGGAAGCCAAGAGCCTGTATTTGGCAGCTGGAACTGGGCTCCGAGGGGCGTCAGGGGCCCACAGGATCACGTGTCCCAGTTTCATACCTCTGCCCCAACTCTGTCTGCACCCACACACTGGGCCCCAGGCTTCCTCCGCCGGACCCCCCGAACCTCAGGCCATCCGGAAGCTTCTGTGGGATGAGGGGGTTCTGGCAGCGTCTGACTGCACCGCCCTGTGCAGGGACGAGCAGTACCTGCAGCAACTACGGGGCCTGGGCGGCCCCGAGGGGAGCCTGGACGCCCTGGGCTCCCAGCAGGAGTGGGGCGACGGCCCTCGGAACAGCGGCGACCTTCGGCTCAAGTCCTATGGCCTGTCAACACTCTACCCCTACGGGGATCCCCAGCTACTTGACTACGACACTGTGAGTCGGTGCGGGTGCGGCTCGGGCGGGGGCGGGGCTCCAGGGACCAGGGCGGGGCTCTGGGGAGTGGGGGCGGGGCTCCGGGGAGTGGGGGCGGGGCTAGGGCGGGGCTCCGGGGACTGGGGTCTCTGGCACCAAAGACTAGAGAGGTCCGGTGGCTCTCTGCAGGCAGAGGTGGACATTCTGGGAGTGGACGGGATTTTGTACAAGGGTCGCATGAGCAATGTGAAGGAGGTGCAGCCCGCCATCCCCGCGGACAAGGAGCTCCCAGGTGAGGGCCGCACGGGATGCGGGCCACTGGGCAGCTGCACCAGGTGCTGCCCCAGACTGGGAGCCCGCCTGTGCTCCGGGGTTTCTACACATGGTGGGGTGGGGCAGAGCGGAAGCAGATAACCAGGCTGGGAAGATGGATTGTTGCAGACAGATGAAGGGCTGACTTGAATGGCAGGCCTCGGGGGCAGGGGCCTGCGACGGAATGCTGTCCCAGGGCAGGGACTGGGGACAGAGTGCTGGGCTGCCCTGTGCGGAGGGGATGGAAGGTAGCTGGGTGATGAGCAGGGAGGGAGGAGAAGGGTCCAGGTGGAGGGAAGAGCAGTGCAAAGGCCCTGTGGGGGGAGGCAGCAGGCATGGTTAGGCGCTCAGGTCGGGGGCTGGCTGGAGTGCCGAGATTGGGCTGGGGAGGGGAGGCAGAGACTGGACCGGCAGGAGCCTGGAGGTATTTATTGCAGGCCACTGGCCGTGACCAAACATCACGGACAGGATTAGGCCCTGGGGGACCCGGCACCTGCACATCCGTAACTCGACCCTGTTCACCTAACTTTGGCCAGAGACCCAGGGTCTGAGTTTGAGCCCTGGTTGGGGTATAGAAAAGGAAGTCTTCCCTGCTTGCCCCTTTAGGGTTTTCCTGGGCGGGAGACGCACACTGACCCTCAGGTGGGCCAGGGTGGCCAGAGGGTCAGACCTGCCCCCTTGTAATTCTCCCTCTCCCGCCCATCCTTGCCCCGGGACTAAGCAATGGATGCATGAGAAAAGGAAACGGAAAGGACTCTACCTCAGGGTGTGTGCTGGAGGGAGGGGCTCATCCCATTGGTTGTGCTGGTAGGAGGGGCTCTATCCCATTGGATATGCTGGGAGGAGGGGCTCTACCTCATTGGGTGTGCTGGGGGTGAGGCTCTACCTCAGTGGGTGTGCTGGAGGGAGGGGCTCTGCCTCATTGGGTGTGCGGGGGTGGGGCTCTGCCTCATTGGGTGTGCTGGGAGGAGGG